TGTTTAGCTTTGGATAAAACTACTGCTTTGGTTTAGTTCTGATATGTGGACTAATAAAATGTAATTTTTGCTTTTTTTTGAGTTTGCTATTGGTAAGTCAGATTTTCATCAACTTAAAGCTCCTCATACACTTCTACTATATAAAAAAAGCATAAATTGATTGAACATACATACATATGATCTGCCAATCAAAAAACACATACATATGATCTGTTAAAACAATCACTCATTTGAAACATTGACATTATTTTAGAATTCTCTCATGTAGACTATTGTGTACAATACAAAATTAGCATCTAACATATATTCTTTGTGTTCTTACTCAATAAAAAAAAGAAGATTGATCATAAAGAATGGGAATCAAGATCAGATCATTCTTTCTTCTCACAATCAAACCAAGGTCCTCTTCCATGTCTAGTTCTTCATACTTCTTTCCTTCAGGGAGTTTCCAATCAAAATGATACAACAATTGTGCAAGTGGAAGCTCAATATTAGGAATTGCAAACGATATCCCGGGGCATATCCTCCTTCCAGCACCAAACAAAATGAACTCAAAATCTCTCCCCTTGAAATCAATTTCACTGTCAAGAAATCTCTCAGGATCAAATTTCTCTGCTTCATTCCAATATTTGGGGTCTTGGCCAATTGCCCAAGCATTGACAATGGCTTTGGTCTTGGCAGGTATGTCGTATCCATTAATCATACATTGTTCACTGCTTTCTCTTGGAACTAACATTGGAGCTGAGGGATGTAGCCTCAAGGTCTCTTTGATAACTGAGTTTAAGTATTTTAGTTCATGAAGGCATGTTTCATCGACATTTCCTTTTTTGTCACAGACACTTCGTACTTCGGCTTGTGCTCTTTTCATTGCTTGGGGGTTTTTCAGCATATCTGACATTGCCCAATCTATGATTGTTGATGATGTCTCGCTTCCCGCACTGAAAATGTCCTGAAATTAATTGGATTGATGTACTTTAGTGCAGGTTATTGACACTGCCAAGAATTCAATGAAATAGAAGAAAACCGGGGATCTACTGAATTTCGTGCCAAGACATACTTCCCACTTTGGGATTGCACAAAAAAGACTTTCACTCTTCACAACACCCAAAAAGAAAAACACAAAAAACAAAAGCAAAGATAAAATTGCAGAGTGTGAGTGAGGATTGTGTTGAAATTACAAGCTTGAGATTGCTTGGCATGAAGGAATCCAGCAAATTGAGTTTGAGGGAATGTTGGAAATCAAACTCAATTTGATTGCTCATACTTTCATCAGATTGCTCATAGAATGCTTAATCAAATCATTACCTATTTTCTAGACCATGGTGTCACTTTTGCTTGGCAATTAATTATTATTATATCATGGGCTATGAAAATAAATTTTTTATATTTTGTGTGAACATTGAAATGATATAGACAAATAAAAATACTGACCAAGATGACTGCTTTGATGTTGTTGTCTGTCAATGGAAATTCAAGGCCACCATGCTTTTGAATTCTCAAAAGAACATCAACTAGATCTTCTTCTTCCCCTTTACCACTTTCCGTTATTCTCTTTCTTTCTCTATGCTCATTCACAATGTTTTCAAGTATCTGATCAATCCTTTTATGCATCTTTTTGAGTGTACCTCTTATTCCACTGCTCACTTGAAACAATTTCACCGATGGGTACATGTCAACAATGATGAAACCACCTATCATGTCTGCAACTTCCTCCACAATCGAAACAAACTCTTCTTGGCTTTTAGTTTTCCCCCTAAAAGCCGCTCTACCAATAATGCCATACGTGAGCGAGAAAATCTTCTTCTAAGATTGATCGGCGATGTCTTGTTTAAAGAAATCAATTTTACTAGATTCAAGACTTCCTATTCCTAATTGCTTGAAATGATTGGACTTGCTTCATGCTCAGAAGCTCCATTATACAAATTTTTCGCATTTGCCTCCAATAATTAATTGCCATACGGGGGAAAAGGCAATGTTTTGAGAATTATAAGAGAGAATCCTAGAAGCAAAAGAGTAAGGCCTTTGAGCAAAGACTATGTCGTGAGTTTTCATGACCTCTCTGGCGATTTCTGGAAGAGATGACGATGGTGGACATTTTGCCGAGTTGGAGGTGCATCAAGGGTCCAAATTTTGTGGCCAATTTTTTCAATGTGTGATGGGCTAGTGATGAGCCAAGAAGTTGGTGAATGTTTCCTATGAGAGGTAGTTTCCTTGGACCTGGGGGTTAGCTTGGGAATAGAGTTTTTGGGTTTGAATCTCTTCATGTTCTTGACTAGAATGAAGATGAATAGGATGGAGGCTAAGAGGAGAGGAATGTGTGGGAATTGGAGCTCCATATTGAAGGAAACTGAGGTTGAAGAGGGTGTTGTGAGCTTGCTAGAAGACATGTCTTTTATAGTATAGTTTTTGTTTTTCACAGTCATTGTCGTTGCCATTAATGACTTGTATGATTAACTCAAAAAGTTGTAATCGGGACCCCCTAATTTCTTTGCTTTTTTAATCTCTGCTTGGGGGCTAAACTTTGAATTTCCAGAGGAAAATTTTCTATGTAGTAGGGGCCATATTTTAGAACACCATGACAACCTTAGGTTGATGGTTTTTGCCTATACCGACTGAAAAATCTAAGTCAGACACATATGACATAAGAAGACAGTGTATTATCATAAACCCACATAATTGATAGCCAATGAATATTTTACAAGTAACCTCATGTTCGATTTGGCAAAAAATATTTTTAGTAAAAATAGGTTTTTTATATTTTCAGTAAATTTGTTTTTCGTTGATTTCTGTTTCAAAAATATATGAAAATTATTTTACAAAATATATTTCTGCTCAACTAGAGAAGAATACATTGAATCCATTTCTACAAAGTAAATTCAGAAGCAATCACCCACCAACCATTAAGTCCGAGTGTGCACCGAGAAAGATTGCCACAATTTATCCCATGTAAATTACTATAAGAAACATAGTCAACACACTTGGCATGGCTTTTACTACTTTGCCAAATATGAAAAGTTGCAAATGGTATGGGCCATAGTCACTAAGTTGCCCATGTGAGTTATACATTCATAGCATCACATTATTAAATAAATTCTAGTCAAATTTGAGTGGCCATGTGAAAACTGTGCAGAGTGTGAAAGTGATTACAAAAATAAAATAAAAAATTAAAATTCACATGTTCAAGACTTAAAACGACACACAACCTGTTGTGCAGGGAAAACAAAAACACTTGCCACTAGATTCTCACAATAATTCAATTTCTACTATATTTTGTTACATTTTATAATGCTCATAAAATGTTTCCTTAGCTGAGTCATTTGACTCTAGTAATCGTAAGACTGTGTTTGTGTTTGAGTCATGGATTTGGAGAACAATTTGGGAAGGAAAAAGAAAATGGACGAGAAATGTGAAATAAGATAGGTTTGTGTTGTACCTGGAAAGATACTAGAAGCAAAGATGCTGAAATTGTGAAGAACTGGCTACTTCCATCATCAAAAAGTTATGGTTTGCTTTATTTCTCCTGCACTTCTGGCCTATTGTCTTTATCATTTCAGCAATTATAGAATCAAATTTTAGCTTGAGGCATGTACATCGACACAATGTCGTACCAAATTTTCTTTTCTGGTCATCCAAACACAGAAAGAAGGAAACAGAACAGAGCAGAGAAAGAAAAAATAACACAGCTTGGAATGCAGCCCAGTGAGCAAACTCAATTGCAAGAACTTTAGCAATTCAGAAAATTAAATTATTCAGCATACTTTCTCCTCCCATTATCAACCATGTCCTCCCATTCAGAGAAAAGCTAATTTGCAAGCTGAACAATCAAAGAATTCCTCTATAATCTTAATTTTGAGTGAACAATCGTAAAACAACCTTATCTCTACATATTGGATGAAGTCTGTTGATGTGCTATATCTTCTTTCTTGTCACACATTTTCCAATTATGACAATCACAAACAAGAGGGGAAAAAAATCAATGTAACAATTATACCATGTTATCGTCAACACGTGGTATCACCATTCATTTATAATTTTTTAACTCTCAATGACATTTCCGAGGAAACGCCAGGTTGCTTGCACTCGAGGATTGACATCGACATCCACCTTTAAATGGAAATTTGAGGGCAAGCGGCCATTCCCTTGACTCCTACTAATAAGAATTTTACTCCATGAGAAATTGAAGAAAAATGGGCTGAATCAGCCTATTTCTTGCATGTACAAATTGAATTCTTTTTTAAGAAAGGAACTAATAATGGAATGGTTTCTCAGCAAGAGAGAAAAAAATGTCAAGAATCCTCTTTTTTCTGTAACACAACTGATGTTTCTTCAGAACACTAATAGATTAGTGAAGCTTGAAACTATCTTCAATTGACAACTCATTTCCATTTACATTAGATGACAATTTCCATTCAAAAACTTGTAATTTACTACTCTAATAGAGACTTCATCACTGTCAAAGCATATATTTACTGAAACAACAAAGTCAAAAGGCAGTCATGTGACAAGGCATTAACATGTTATTACATAGTCATAGCACATTTGCAGCCTTGGAAAAAAGAAATGAAGAAAAAAATGTAACTTATATTTTATTTGCATTTCACTCGCTTTTCTCTTTTTCATTTTCAAATCCTGACCCAAATCCATGATCCAAACACAGACTTAGGAAACAAAAAAATTTAACACTGTGAAATAAAATCTTATTACATTTGCAATGAAAATTGATTGATTTGTATGGCCAATTTTTTCGAATGAACTTTTAGCAATTTAGTTAGGATTTTGGTTTAAATTAAGGTAGCTTGTAATTTGTAACTAGAGGTGCAACGTGAGCTCGTGCAGTAAGATTGAAGAGTTATCACAGTTGTTTTGAGAGTTGCTTGAGGCCCCCAAGCCCGATCTCTAACGTAATTTTGTGTGTCCAAGGCAGCCTCGAGCTCAATAAATTGAACTTGGGCTATGCTCCAATTAACAACAAATTTGAGCTGAATTTTTTTTTTTTCCATCCACTCTTCAAGGACCACAATTATTTTATCAACCACCTTTCAAACAAGCTAGGCCAGCCAACATTTAAATATTGATAGCATTAAAGTAACACCAAGTAATTATTTAGTATTTAAAAAACATAGTGGAGACAACCAAACCTATGCTCATTTCCACCACTTCAACTTCAAAAAATTATTTTTTGTCATATAGTATTTAATGAAGATTCCTAGAACAAAGCCACATGAAAAAAGTGACAAAATCCAAATGCTAACCATAATCCGACCCCCACAAGTGACAGAAGGCATTAATGCGTGTCATTCCAGTTATCATCCACCAGAACACAAACTGGGATCCCAAAATTTTGTTTAAAAAATTCTTGCCACAATAATAAAATTTTTACAGCCTATCACCCCTTCAAATCCAAGTTTATTCTGGCTCTTTCAAATGCTTCAAAGTCTAAAACCTTTCTTTCACCTTTTCAAAGACAAATCATAAAAGATAACTATATAACCTTAGGCATGTAAATCCTATGGTCTCGTGTGTGACATTTACTTCTTCACTGGTCCCTAAACCACACGACCTGCTACCCAAGCTCCCTAATTATTGCCACCAGGGTTTTGGGTTGCAGGATACCAAAACTATTCTTAAATGTGGAGATTAATATCTTCATTGGATGTGTGAGCTTGTGGCCAGCCAATAAAACTACACAAATCCTTTTATCTCCTTGATGGATTAACTAATATTTTTAATGATACACATACCAAATTCAAACATGAATTTGCTAAGCCAATATTTTTACTTATCAAACAACCTGGCATAAACTCAACAACTTGAATTTTTAAAATATCTAATATGTTCATATTCATGACAACACTTGCACCAGTAAAATTTCACAAAAAAATAAATATGAGCGACCTTTTCAATCAGTACTCTCCATATCATCATTTTCATACTACAATTAATCACAAAATTCACACGTCTATAGAACAAGTGCTAGTAAATATCTCCAGTTTGATCCCCCAATCACCATTGAAGATGAAAGAAAAAAATATAATAGACTAAAATAGCAACAAGTAAAAGCACTGCTCAAAGATTAACATATAACATTATTTTCATTGTGAATTCTCTATCTAGTAGCCAACATTTCTATTACTCAAAATGATTAAGAATGTAACAAGGGGAATGGTTTGAGTTGTAACTTGTAAGATTGCATTTCAAAGTTAAAAACTTGGCAAGTCCCAGTCTTCCATGACTGAAATCCAATTTAAAAGCAACTACATACAAAAGTGAAAATCTCCAAAAGGTTGCTAAACGATGCGAGAAAAAAACCAAGAAAGAGTCATGACAAGAAACTCCTATTTAACTCAGTGCTTCAAGAAAACTAAACAACTTAACAAAGCTTTAGAATTCAATACAGTAGCAAGGGTAAAGCTTTTGAAGTGGTCTTGTATAGCTGTTATCCAGATGCTCACCCACTCAAATGTAGTAGCTAGGTGAAACACCCCTTCAAAGTGGATACCATTGCTTTATTGTGCTACTTAATGGAACAAACCTAGTTTTGAAATAAGAACATCAATAACTCAAATAACGCATATAAGTAGAAACCATAAAAGATAATTCAACAAAGGAATGCTACAAAGATAAATTCCAATTACCGGATAACGCCATTTGTCTTTGTTGATTTCTTCTTTCACAGCATCCGTGGGCATCCTTTTTAGACCTTTTCACCTTCTTATGATGTTTTCCTTCAACAATTTTCATAAACCATTCTGGTCTTTGAGTTATAAACATAAGATATCCCATAACCATTCCAAACACAAATCCGCATCCATACCCCAACACTACAACTTGCCAGTTAAATCTGCTTGACTTGTCTGAATTCTCATATTGTTGGAGTGTTTGTGGAGGTGGCAGTGGCTGTAGTTCCTTACATTTCTTTGATAAAGGGAATCCACATAAGGCCAAGTTCCCACTGTATGAATCATTTCCAAATGTATTAAACTGGCTCCCTTGAGGAATTGGTCCTGCTAGTTGGTTGTTTGAAAGGTTTAGTACCTCAAGAAACATCAAACTTTTCAATTGCTGAGGAATCTCCCAACAAACTTGTTTGAGGACAGATCCAATAATTCAAGATTTTTCAAATTTCCAAGTGAAGTTGGAATGTGGCCTTCGAGGTTATTATGGGATAAGTTAAGACCCCGAAGTGAATCAAACCTCCCAATGGATTTTGGAATCTCTCCTTGGAATTTATTTCTTGAAAAATCAATGATTGAGAAGACTGTTAAGATTCTTGAGAATTGAATCTCATATCCTTTAATCACCACCACCACAGAATCTTGGTAATATTGTTGGCCCATGTATTTCAATTTCACATGCTCATCAATATTCATCATAGCTCCAAATTGTTTGAAATAATTTGTTGGCAAAAGGCCGGTGAACTCATTGCAAGATATGTCAATAATTCTCAACTTAGGAAAAGGATATTTGCCTTTGATCTTGGAGGCGCCTATGTGACCATGAAACATATTAAACCTCAAGACAAGAACCTGCAATTCTGTAAGAGTTTCCAACCAGTGGAGGAATGTATCGTTTATCTTGTTTTTTCCAAGATCTAGAACTTCCAAGTACTTACAATTGAGCAAAGATCGCGGAACTTGTCCTTCAATTTGGTTGCCATTCAAGTTAAGATTCCTCAGCAAATTGCCTTTGGTAAATGTTGCAATAAAGGTGCCAGAAAAGCTATTGATCCCTAAATTCAACACCGAGAGACTGTTGCTCAAGTTTCCCAAACATTGTGGAATCAAGCCACTAAAACTGTTATTAGACAGATCAAGGACTTGAAGTGAACTTAGACTGCAAATCAATGGAGGGATTTCCTCGCTCAATTTATTGTTTGAGATAGAGAAAACATATGTGGTGTTAGGTGGAACAGGGAGTGGTCCTCGGAGTAAGTTGGAATGCAAGTCAACAAATTGTAGATTCTGCCATGGAAGATGCTCTAAACTTGTAAGGAAATTATGAGAAAGATTTAAATTTTGCAATGAATCTTTCCCCACATTGAATAACCATTTTGGAACTTCACCATGAATTTTGTTGTTTGAAAGGTCTAGTGAATACAAACTGGCTTGTTCTTTCAAGAAGTTTGGGAATTCGCTCAAGTTGCAAGAAGCTAATTTTATAGTGTCAAAGTTGGTCAAGGTAGAGTTGACACTGTTGTTGATGCTCAATAAGAGACCATTATATGAGAGATCAAGAGAGATCAGATTTTTAAGCTTTAGAAGCTTATCTAGATCTACTACACCACTTAAGTTATTTGATGAAACCGACAAGGATGTTAGGTTCTGGTGTTCATAAACTAATCCTGGAATTGGTCCCTGTAGCTTATTGTTACTCAAATCTATATTAGCCAGTAAAGGCTGAGCAAACAACGAAGATGGTATTGTACCAGTTAGCTGATTAGAAAAAAGGTACAAGAGAGTAAGTTGGCTCATGTAGCCAAGGGAATCCTGAATTTGACCGTTCAAATTGTTTCCGTAAAGATACAAGAGGGTAAGTTGGCTCATGTTGCCAAGGGAATCCGGTATTTGTCCGATCAAATTGTTTCCAGAAAGATACAAGAGAGTAAGTTGGCTCATGTTGCCAAGGGAATCCGGTATTTGTCCGTTCAAATTGTTTCCGGAAAGATACAAGAGAGTAAGTTGGCTCATGTTGCCAAGGGAATCCGGTATTTGTCCGATCAAATTGTTTCCGTCAAGACACAAGGTATTAAGCTTTGCAAGGTTTGAAATTGATGAGGGGATTTGACCGCCGAAACTGTTAGACCCGAAGTCTAGATAGGTGATTTGTGTAAGGTTCCCAAGAGAAGCTGGAATGGACCCCGAAAAGTTGCAACCAAAGAGATCAAGAAACTGAAGGGAACTAGTCACATTGAAGTATGGAAGTTTACCTGTGTGTTCCGAATTTCCCGATACACAGAGCTCTCGTAGGTTTGGAAAGTGAAAAATGTTTTCTGAGAATTTCCCACGCAGTTGACAATAACGAAGACTGAGAGATGTCAAAGAAGATAGATTTAGCAAAGCATGAGGTAAAGGTGAAGAGATATTCAACGAATCAAGGTGTAATTCTCTTATGCTGTGTTTGGTTGGGGGATTTGGGAAGGAATTTGGAAAGAGAAATGGAAAAGGTAGGTGAAATGTGAATAAATCATGCCTATATTTCACATAGTCTCACACACCTTTTCCCTTTCTCTTTCCAAATCCCTCCCCAAATCCCTCAACCAAACACAACATTAATTGGGTTAGGTTTCGAAGGAGCATATTGAAAGTGTGTTGTTCAAGTCTCGCCAGAGAATAAGAATAACCATAAGGATTATGAGGATAATAATTGAAATAAGAGAGGTCAAAGGAAACCAATTTGGACAGATGACAGATTTTTGAGGGAATTCGGCCTGTAAAATTAGAGTAAGAGAGGTTGAGATGGGTCAAACTTGGAAAGGAGCCAAAGTCAGGTGAAATTGTAGAGAAACTGAAGTCATTGAAGGCAAGATTGAGGGTTTGGAGGTGACGAAGGTGGAAGAGGGTAGTGTTGGGTTGGATGGTGCCGTGAAAGTGGCTGCAACTGAGGTCAAGTCCAATCACATGACCATTGGACCAGTCGCACGTGACCCCCTCCCACGAGCAGCAATCACCACTCTCATTCCAGAACACCATTTTAGGATGAGAATCAGATTCACAACGTAAAGAGGCATTAGTAGTTATGGTAAATGTTGTTTTAAATTGGAGAAGTGAAAATCTCTGGTCCTCAAGGCAGGTATGGCGTGCAAAAGTAGAAGAAGAAGAAGAAGAAGAAGAAGAAGAAGAAGACAAGAGAAATAGCAGAAGAAATTGATGAAGAAACATAAGCCAACTCATTTTGATTCAGAGAGAGAGAGAGAGATATGAAAAGCAGAGCAGTGGAAGAAGGATTGTAGTTTGATGATGGAGAAGGAAAATGTATTACTCATTCTTATACAGCCCAGCCCAGCCCGTCAAGCACGTCAACTACGTAATTTGCAACAGTGACTATTTGTCTTTAATTCCAATGGGAAATTTCCTTAGATTTGGTCTATTATGTCATTTTAATTCAAGTAATTTCAATTAGTTTTATTTTGAATTTTGAATTTTAGATTTTATATTAATTTGGTTCGATTGATAATGCTGATCATCGTTGTTGAAAGAAAAAATGTTACTAAGTTAGTTGAGAATTGAATTGAATAAGTTACAATTTTTTAACTATAAAAGCATGAAACATGCCATTCATGTGCACAATTTTCATAAAAAGAAAACACTAAAAGTTGTAATCAATTTAACCAAATTAAAATAAAATCATAAATTAATGTCAAAATTGAATCAATTAGAATTATAAAAACAAAAATAACACAAAAGTAAAAATATAAGCACTATTAATATAATTTTCCTTAAATTAATTAAAAGTTGGTAATGCCTTGACTATTTATAAAGCAAGTAATGAAACATTTTGAGACTGGTTTGCTTTTAATTGAACAAAAGCATAAACGTAAGATTCATTATTTTTTTGTTGTCTTGCAGTTAAAAAATATATGAATTTCTTAGGGTATTATTTTTCACAATTTCTTTAATGGGATATTTTAAAAAATAGACATTTAAGATTGTTTACTAAATATATTTTTCATAGTACAAGGCAACAGAAAATGATGAATCCTATGATAAAGTTATTTTCATCAAATTGTTAAGTATGATTTTGTTTGATGTAGTTTATTCAATTTTTGCAATTAAAAAATATATATTTTTAAGTAAATTAAAATTGTTTATGTAATTGTTCATATTTTAAGAAGTATGGTATAATTGGAATAAAAGATATTATTAAAAAAAAAGTGAACTTTTTTAGAATAAATAAAACTTAATTGTTTACATTGAAAATGACTCAATAATACTCTTGAAAATAAGATTTATTGATAATTTTTTTTAATTTATTTTTGAACAAATTACGTTGCTCTAGTTCCCATTGATAATTGTCAGAGATAGGAGATTTCTAAGAAATGTGATTGGAAATAAGCAAAAATTATTCTATAAGACTAACCTATATTTTATGTGGTTTGTCCTTCTAAGTGTATGAAGCCATATTATTAATTTTTCATACATTTTCTCTTACATTTGAGGCAAACTAATTATGTGCCTCATTGTTATAAGATAGGCACACAACCAAAAATTATTTAGTAAGTTGGGAATACCGTGTGTCCATGTGTCCATCCAATAATATTCTATAATTTCTCCACTATTTCCTTATTTTGTAGTCATGTATTTATTTAGCCCTTGCTATTCGCCAAGCACACGGCCAACGTAAAATTCCCACAAAACAAAATAATTCCTCGCACATAACCACCTTGTAGAATGGATCCACTAGATAACTTGGAAATAAAGGAATACCTTGAAGTTGATACATGCGAAACAGAATAATTCATCCCACTAGTTTCGTTTGAGAAGAAGGATTGGGTTGGGTTTAGGGCTATTTTAGCCACAAAAAGATAAAATAGGCTTTTTAGTCAATAAGACAAAACATCACATCCAACCCATAATCATTACATTCTTTTTCTCACAAAAATTCAAAAAAAAACAAAAATTTCTTTCCAAACAAGGCTTTTTACCCCAGGCTAAAATAGCCAAAAAACCAACCCATTTCCCAAACGAAGCCTAGCCACCTGGATTATGTATAATATTTCTTTTTTATTTTATCAAATTGTTTTGTTTGATACAGTTTTTATAATTTTTACAACTAAAGAATATATACTTAAAGTAAATTAAAATTAATTATACAATTGTTATTCATATTTTTATAAGAATGGTAAATTTGTGATGAAATATATTATTAAGGAGATGTGAACTTGTTTGAGAATAAATTAGGAAAAATAAGACTTAGTTGTTCACATTAAAATTTGGTAGCACTCACTACTAATATTGAAATAGTGGTTTGAATTATACAAATCGTAATATGATTTGTATAATTCTATACGAGTTTTACATAGGGCAACACAAATTGCAACTAAGAATAAGAAATTTGTTGGAATCATGCAATTCAATAATGGAATCGTAGAATCGGAATGAATTCAATTCGAATTATTTTCATTTTTTACTCCCCATGCTATTAAATGACCTCGTTTGGTGTCTTTGACCCCCAACAAAAAATAAAAATAGAATAGTAAAAGAAATCGATACATATCATACCAGTTGATGAAAGAAATTAGGGCATAACGAATTACGGAATCAAAGATGGAAGTGGAGCAAATCAGTCGACCAAGGAATCAAGCAACAAGTAGTCCTCTTTCTACCCAAAATCTAAAGTTATGCAGTGTTTATTTGATAGATGGTTGTCGTTTTCTCATTGTTGTTTTCATGGGTCTCATATTTTTCAAAATAGAATCATAATCACCCTTGAAATAATCTTGCAAAGGTAATTTAGATAAGTAATTTAAGCTCAAAACTTAATTAGTGATAATGTAAATGGACGCTTTAAGTCTAAAATACTATTATCCTTACAATAATCTTGATTATTGCAAGAAAGATATTGCAAAGAATCTTATTCCATATTTTTTTTCATGTCGTTTTTTGCAAGACTTCCATGACTTTGTTTGTGGGTCGCTTTATTTGACAAGAGTATTATATTATGCTGAAAAAGACTGCACATATTCTGTTGGAAAATGGTTTTATATAGGCATAATTTTGAGCCCATTTTGGGTGGGCCCCAAACATCTTTTGGGGTGGATCCGAAGAGGTGACGTGTTCCTTGCCGCGTGGCAAGTCACACAGTGAAGACGGTACGTCAAAACCATTTATGAGTGAATGGGAAGTTGACGTCGTTTTCGGGTTTAACATTAATTTTTATTTAGATAAAATTCACTTGAATTTTTTCAATAAAAATTATTGTGGGAATTTAATTTAATTCTAAATTCAAATTTTGGGTTCCTAAGTGGTTTCCTAAAGTTTGTAATTGTGGGAATTTAATTTAATTCTAAAATTAAATTTTAGGTTCCGTTATAGTTTCCTAAAATTAATACCTTTTCTTTTATTTATTAAACTTGTTTAATATATATATATATATTAAAAAGTTTAATTAATAAATAAAAGTTCCATACAGTTCCACTTACGGAACTATTTTCAATTGTTTGAAAAGTTGGTCTCAAACGGTCAAAATTTGTTTGTTTTAAACAAAGGCACCTGTTCGGATTGCTTAAAGTACCTCTTGACCATTTTTCATACCTGTTCGGACCACAGGGTTGGCCTATAAATAGAGCCTTATTTCAACAGTCTCAAAATCCGGGAAAAAATCAGTCTGTTTTGGTCTTTGGTTGTCCTAAATTCTGCATTTGTTTTTTTTTATTTATTCTTCATTTTAGTATTAGAATAAATTTCAGAGATTTAGAACACAGGTTTAGTTCGCCGAACAAATTGTTTGGAGTACTACTACAATTTGTGAAAGATCATTGTATCCTCGGAGATAGACGCCGCTCAACCGTAAGTACCATAGCGGGGCGAATCTGTCTTAAGGACAGAGTGTCACACACTCGACTTGATTATTGCAAGAAAGATATTGCAAAGAATCTTATTCCATATTTTTTTTCATGTCGTTTTTTGCAAGACTTCCATGACTTTGTTTGTGGGTCGCTTTATTTGGCAAGAGTATTATATTATGCTGAAAAAGACTCCACATGTTCTTTAATAATGGCCTTGTTTGGCTCTTGAGAGATAATTTTTGATAAATTTTTTTTTAAAAAAATTTGTTTGGTTGAAATTTTCTAAAAAAAATAAAATAAAATCATTTTGCTCTCTACTATATATCAATCAATCATTTTTTTCTCTCTCTTCTCTCTTTCTCTCATATCTTACATATCAATCAATCACTTTTTCTCACACCCATCTATTCAATTAAAAAAAAAAATTAAATCATCCAAACTCTAAAACTCCAAAACTATTTTCAAAACCTACAACCAAACAAAATTTTAAACTTTGTAAACTCTTTCCAGAAAATTATTTTTTAAAATTGTTTCACAAATACAAACCAATTGGTCCGGTTAATGTGTACGTAAATATTGAGAGAACTTAAAAATATGTATCTTATTTATTGAACTCATTTACATACACAATGTGCAATACTTTTAAATTTCTTAACATGTACCTTAAGAACACATATTAATAAAATTCATATTATATTTAATATTATATATAAATTGTTATTTTTTTTCATTTTAAGAACCATATATGTGATTTCATATGTAAATATATAAGTATATATTATTATATCAAAAATATATAAAATGAAGTGAATTTTACGATTCACAATTTGAAAATAAGACTTATTAATGGACTGCATGACCCTGACTAATTGTTAGAGATAGATAGAATATGACAAAACCAAATTGGATGGGTGGTGGTGGGAGATTTCTAAGGAATCTTTGCTGGAAATAAGTCATAATTATCTTATAAGTCTAGCTTTGTATTCAAGTGTATTAGATATATAACTAGTTTTTGTTTTTTCTTTTCTTTTTTTTCATATATATTTTAGACAAATTAATTATGAGTTTCATTGTTGTAAGATGGAAACATGGATCTGAGGTGTGTGTTGTGCCTTGTGGCACATCATGCATGTTTTGATGTATCATGGAGACTTGTCCCGAGTCTATTTGATGAACTGAATAATTCATATTATAAGATTCGTCGAACATATTATCTTTATAAAAAATCAAGTTCTAACTGTTTTAAAATAAATTATTAAAATTATATTAATCATTTATTTTTAAAAAAATAAATGTGATCTTATTTTAAGGTTATAAATAAACAATTGATTTGAATTTTTTTAATGAATAATCTACTCAATAAACCTTACACAATAAAAAATTTAGATCAATAACATGAGCTCGGGACAAAAATCCAATGAGCCTTACAACACCGTGTGCCTACCGTGCCTTATAGGCACAGCACACTCCCCAATTCCAAGGAAGCACAGCCACCTTGAAA